ATATATGAATAATATGTGATTTAGATGGAGATATTATAGAAAAGGGGACAAAAGTGTCATATGAATGGGGAGTCTAGCCATCCTTTAAGTGACAACTGTGTTTTGTTATTAAAAAAAAACTTCAGCCAAAAATGGACATTTGTCCAATAAGGTCACATGCATTGCAAGTATGGTGACGTGAGCTAGAGGAGTTTTGGTTGTAAATAGCCATGAAGCGATGGCCAAAACGCAGAACAAGGTGAAGAGAAAGGGAGAAAAATTCATGAGATCTTGAGGTCAAAAATTGAACAATGATTTTACTTCAAATTGTTATCAAATTCTAATATTTTGTTCAGGGTATTTTGAATTTCATATGTATCGAAGTCATTTGAGGTACGAGATAATATACACTATGCAGAGTGATATATGTACAAAGTGATTTTGGCCCTGCGAGGTGCGATTGTGATCACAGCTCTGTGAGATGTGATTGGTTAGTCTGAGTACGAATTTATATGTCTAGGTATCAACTGTCATGTCACCAAGAGGAACCGAGTATGATGTTATTCTTGATAACTGGTGAGCTACGTGGCCTGTCAAATGTGATTATTGATTTTGTTATCCATGATCTTTATTATTTGAGTTATTTGGTATTTGATCATTTGTATTTTTTATTTATCGTTGAGCATATTATTTTGTCATATTGTATAGATAAACCTCCACATTCTTATCTTTATATAACAACGTAATTATTTTTGAAATACTAATATATGTGATGATATATGCATAAACTATGTGGATTGTAAGAATAGAAATAAAAATGTTAGGCGAGATAATAGGCTATGAATTGGAGGTTAGGAAGTATTCCGGAGTTCAAACACATTTTAGATAAAATTTGGGTAGAAATGATTTTGGACACTTCTTATTATTTGGAACATAACTTTTTACTCTGATGTCTGTTTGAGCTGAAATGTTTTGTAGTAGATAATAGACTTCCAGGGCTACAAAAGTGTATTTCACAAAAAAATTTTAAATCAACTCTAAATAAGCCAAAACTTCACTAAAAGTTTCAGCAGAAATAGGAAGTCTGGTTGAACGTGAAAATACATTCAAACGACAGTGCGTTCCAGCACTTTTGTCTGATGGAAAAACAAAAGTATTGGGAGCAAATGATGTTCGAACACCAAAATGACATTCGAATGTGAGTGACGAAATCTGGGTTTCAGAATTACGCACAGGAGACCATTTCTTCCACTATAAATACTTAAGGACACATTCATTAGCCCCATTTCAACATTTATAACCCTGGAGAGACTTAGAGAGGAAGAAATAAGGGAAAAACACAAGATTAAGAGGAATTTGCACATTGAAGAGGATCAAAATTTTTAGTTTTTCAAGAACACCAAGGAAGAAGAAATGTAGGAGTTTCTTGCTATTCTCTTCTATTGAGGCTAAGATTTATATATATGTATGTTTTGACTCTAAATCCTATTTATATGTTAGGAAATCCTTGAAGTACAACGGGTATGGTCATTTATAAATGTCACATTATATCGAGCATTTGACAGAGCAGTAACAGGAGGTGGTCCCCAAATATCAGAGTGTATTAGGTTAAATGACTTGGGTGATTAATACATGAGAGGAATATAACTGGTCCTAACATGTTTTGATAGGGAACATATAACACAATCAAGTTTAACACTAACACAAGCATTGCTCAAAGTGGGAAACAATATACATAAATATTTAAAATTTGTATGCCCAAAACGGTCATGCCACAACTTAACAGTTTGTAATAAAAAATCATAACGATAAGTACTAGGTAAAATACTAGCATGAAAACTAGGAACACATAAAGATAAAATAGGTGCAAGTGATGTAGGCATAAGAACTGGTGAAATTAGAGGTGAATCGCCTAGATAATATAGTCAATCTCTCTCATGTCCCCTGGTAATAATCCTCTTGGTACTCAGGTCTTACAAATAACACGAATCAGATAAGAACACAACTACACATTGAAAATCTCTGGTTAACTGATGTACAAATAATATATTCATGGCCAGTTTTGGTGTATAAAAAATCAAACGTAATGTAAAGTCATTTAGGAGGCAGACTGTACCCCTACTAATAATAAGGGCATGTGTCCTATATGCTAGCTAAACCTGTGTATGTAACTGTTCATCAAAAGGGGTGAAGTGATGGGTCTCACCTGTCATGTGACTATTCGCACTTGAGTCCAACATCCAAAGGGGAGACGAATTGCATGAAAGACACGAGGTATACTTGTAGTGATGGCAACAACACTAGTCGGACCCTAAGAAGTCAGGATGGACATTAAGTATATCAAATCGGGAAGTGATAACATTCATATCACTTTGCCAAGGAGCAGTAGCAGGAGCAGCGACAGTAGGTGATGGTACCTCATCAATAGTAGTAGTATAACCGTGAGGAGGCGTGTTAAGCTCCAAATGAAGCTTCCAGCAAGCAGCCCTAAGATGTCCTAATCGGCCACAATAATCACATTGACGAGAATTCCCCTGTTTGCGCTGAACTGGGGTGCCCTGCCAGCACTGGTCCAAGCGCTGTCCATCATTGGCTGAGGGTCCTGAACGAGACCCTGCAACAGCTGTAAAGGCCATCTGGTCAGCCTAAAAAGTCAAGGTCGCAACTAAAAGTGATGCAATATGAGTACGACACTTATGCTATTCAAGCGTACACCTTATAAAGAGACAGAAGCCTCATCATTGACAAGATCTGGGAACAAGGTCCCTCAAACGCATCACGAAGCCCCATAAGGAACTTGTAAATTCTATCCTCCTGCTCTCAAGTATGCATGAATGCCACTCCCTTAGGCTCTATCCTTGGAGTAGTAGCAAAAAGACGTAGAGTCTCATACTCAAGCCAATGCTAGGGCAAATAGTCATAATAATCCTGAACCATCATATCTCTTTACTGAGCATATGAGAGCTCTTGAGAAAGCTCATAAATACGAACTTCACGTCCTGTCTAAGAATACATCTCTGATAATGTGCTCTATAGCTTCAAAACAGAGCTATAAAACTGATGAATTCAACAAACGAATGGCTTCATCGAGCCAAATAACCATCCAAGAATAGCGCAGTTCTTAGAGAACTATACAGAAGATCCAGGGTCGTCATCGGTTGACTTTGGGTGAGATCCCGTCAACCAACCAAGCTTCTCTACGTAGTCTAAAAAAAGCTGGAATGAGCAGGACCACTCAGCAAAGTTACGATTATTCAACAACTATGTCATAACCTTATGAGAGATTAATACCGATATTGCTGGTGATGCAACTGTGCCAGTAGGTACGATATACTGATCAAACATAAATGTGGGAGGATTAGGCGGTACATTCTAAGGGGAAGTACTAATAGTAAGGGTCTCAATGATAGGGGTCTCAAGTCCCGCAGTAGTCATATCAACAATAATACTTGGGCATCTGTGACAGAAAATACTCTAAGATAAATAAAGGGACAAAATAAGGGAAAACAATATACCTCTAGTCAAATAGTAGCGATAGATAAAGAAGGTCCAAAAAGATCCCAAATAATTAGGTCACAGTGCCCAGAAATTCGGTAAATATATAAGTGATCTACTACATCAAAAGCATATCAATGGAGAAAAGGATCTGATCCCTCCTAAAAAAGTTTGAGATACTACAACCCTAGGGGAAAAAAGTGGTGCAAAGAGATGGAAGCACTTCGACGAAGAACGCGAAGCACGAAGCTACAATGAAAGTGCGACTCGATAGTGGGCTAGTGAATGGGCTTGGTAGTGACCCAGTAGTAGGCTAGGTAGTGGGTTGGGTGTGCTAGGTTCACTAGGTTTGGGGCTGTTGGGTTTGCTGGTGTGCTCAATTGGATGGGTGGGCAGTAGGCTGGGTGGTTGGGTGTGTTGGGTTCGCTGGGTTTGGGGCTGTAGGGTTTGTTGGTGTACTAGGATGCTGGTTTGTTGGGTTTGGTTGAGCAGTGGGGTTTGGTTAGGTTTGCTAGGGATTATTGGGTTGTTGGATGGGGATGATGTTTGTCGGTGGGGTGGTGGCTGTCAATGGATGTTGTCCTGGGTTGGTGTTGTCGGTGCTTACGGGAAGGTGTGGCATAAGTGGGATGGTGGATTATTGGAAGGTTTGGTTTCGCTAGAGCAAGTGTGGCGGTCACTGATCTAGATCGGGGTAGTCACGGTGTGGTGGCAATCTTGTGGCTGGTGGCTGGAGGAAGTTGCAACGTGGAGGAGGGGCTAGGTTAGGGTTGGCAGTGAAGGGGGGGCAAGAGCTAGGGTTTAGGCTCTAAAACCAACTTGATATATTTGTGAGTAAAAAGAGATACAAACTAAATGTAAAGCTCCGTATATATAGCTAAACAATAATATAAGAAGACTTGAACATCCCTATAGTTTAGGCAAGACATAAAAGTTATAGTTAAGATAAAAAAAGAAAACTCTAACAAATTAGACTATAACTCCAACAGATGGAAAGCATGGTTGGCATAGAATTAAATTTGATGTACCTTTATTTCTAAATTTGACACCACATATAAATTGAATAAAAGAAAAAAATCCCACACATACAAAGCGAGGCGAAGGAGATTCACCCCATTTAACTAGTGTCGAAATTAATGAGGAATCTGAAATGACAGCACAACACAAACTGTCATACTTCCCGGAGGCACCGCTTTGGAGAAATTAAGACGACTCTAACCTTTATGGAGGCTTTATGCAACAAAGCTGGCAGTGACATAGTGGCACTTAAGAATTTTGAAGTAGCTTTTGGGTATGCTTATGTTGTTAAGCTTTGGTCAAATAGGTGCTGTGTGTTTTAAAAGCACCAGACAACAGAATAACGGAAGAAACAAAGAGGGGAGGGGAGAATAGATCCAGATCGGGAGAAAAATCATATGAAATCGACGTTCGGGAACAGCTGGACTATGATTTTTAAGGATAGTTTTATACCTTCCCAGTTTAGGTGGATCATCTCTTCCTCTAAAATGCAAACACCACATAAATTAATGATAATGTAGTTGAAGAAGCTTTTACTTATGGCAAGAAAGGAATTTGGAATCATGGTACATAAAAATATGTAATGACATTTCCTTTTTTCCAAACAGCAAAGTTCCCTGTTTTGGGCTTTGGGCTTTGGCCTTTGCTAATGCTATTTTCAGGTTTTTTGGGAACTCCATCTAGCAATCCAAGGTTGTGATTAATTCATTTCTGTAGAGCTTCTAAATCAGGAATGATCAGGCGTTTGCCCTTTCGACTAGCAGCAGAATATATCCGAAAGAAGGCAGGCACAGTTCAGTTGAGTACCTTACTTGGTTTCAAAGCCAACAAGAAAATATTCCAAGTGTAGCTTTGAAGTTTCCTTCGTCTTTCCTTTGTCGTCGATGGGGAAGCTGCAGGACTCTGATCCATACATATGTATATAGCGATTAGCAATTTGAAGCTAGCTAGCGTTAGCATACCTTGTGGAAATTTAAAATGGGGGAAAAGGAGTGGATGATTAGAGTAAGGGATGAACTGAATTGCATGCCAGATACATCAACAGAGATGGCGTATTGTGAGAGGCGGTCCATCTACAGAGTAGCTAGCTGTGTCACGGATCTAAACAAGAAAGCCTATAAGCCTCAGGCAGTCTCATTTGGTCCTTACCATCACGGCGAGGAATACTTGAAGGCAATGGAGGACCACAGGCAACGTGCTTTCCTTCACTTCCTCAAGAGATCAAACAAATCCCTTGAGTACGTGGTCGACTAGCGTGGTCCAAGATCTCAAAGACTTGTATGATTCGCTTGATCCTTCTTGGCAACAAGACACAGAAGCATTCCTAAAGCTCATGATTCTCGATGGCTGTTTCATGCTGGAAATTCTGCGTACAGCTACTCAAACTTTGGACGATTATGCCCCCAATGATCCCATCTTAAGCAATCACGGAAAGCTCTATATCATGCCTTCCGTTAAGCGTGACATGCTCATGCCTGAAAATCAATTGCCCATGTTGGTTCTCAACAACCTCGTTGCTGTTGAAAACGAGAAAATTAAGGTCATCAATCAATCTCTCTCTCTCTCTCTCTCTCGTGCTAGTTTTGCCTGCTTTCACGTTTTCTCATCTTTCGATTCTTCTTGTTGGAGTGAGATTGTTGTTTTTTTATAACTGGATACTAGACGGCTTCATCCTTTCTTTTCAATGGACATGACATGAACTTTGAGCAAATGTCGTAACGGCATCTCAGTTTGATCTTGTTATTTAAGTAATGTTACAACGTGATATGTTGAAATTTAATTATGTGTTTATGTTCCTGAGATTTTACAATTTAGACTCTGATTTGTAACTTGAAATAGCATTAATATAGCTGAGTAAAATTAACAACCCTAGTGATTCTGAACATTCAAAATATTTGCTTGCATGCATAGCGGCAAGACGAGGAGTTCATGAACAAGCTGATACTCAAGTTCTGCTCCCCCAACAAACCTGTCAAAAGCATTGGAAAATGCTTGCAAGTACTGGATGTGTTTAGAAAGAGCCTGCTCTGGGAAGAACCCCGCCATCGCCAGAAGAACATACGAGGTGTGGTCCATGGAGGGGGTGATTAGATCATCCGTTCAGCAGCAGAGCTTAATGAAGCTGGAATCCGACTCAAAAAAAGGTAAAAGTGGAAGCCTCAAAGACATATCGTTCCATGGCGGGGTACTGAGGCTCCCCCTCATCGTGGTGGATGAAGCAACTGAATCCATGTTTTTAAACCTAATCGATTTTGAGAGACTCCACGTTGGGACAGGGAATGAGGTGACCTCGTATATCTTCTTCATGGACAACATCATCGACAATGTCAAGGACGTCAGCCTCCTCCATTCCCGTGGAATCATCCAGAATGCAATCGGAAGTGACAAAGCCGTTGCCAAACTGTTCAACTCACTTTCCAAGGATATCACGCTGCATCCAGAGAGCAGCCTAGACATAGTGCATAATAAGGTGAATGATTACAGCAGGAAGAGGTGGAATGAGTGGCGTGCCAATCTCATACACATTTACTTCAGGAACCCATGGGCCATTCTGTCCGTCATCGCTGCACTCTTCGTTTTTGCACTCACAATAGCTCAGACCATATACACCATTTACCCTTCCTATACTTCAAGTGATTCTCCTCCTCCTCCTCCTCTAAAGAAATTCCCCTAACCTCACTCCACCTTCTCATTGATTTTAGGCTTTAGCAATCTCTTTGTTCCTGCCGATTCCTCAACATCACAAGCATTGAATTGCTTTCCAATATGCCACTTGCTTAGTTTTATTTTCATATTCGGCATACCTATTTGATTTGATTCGATTCATCTCAAAAGATTTTCCCGTACAAACGCTAATGATAGTGGCATTTTCATATCCAGGAAAAATATCAACGAGAGAGAGAGAGAGAGTAATTACTTCCAGCCGTGTACAAGAATCTAACAAAATCTCCTACCCTTTTCTGAAACTTGCTAAAATTAAATGGAATGATTAAGTGGTCCAACCTAAAATCTTGCAAAACTGATCTAATTTACAAACATAATGATGTATTATCAAATAATAGAGTGTCCATGAGAAAGTCCAACAGTTACAATCACAATAACACTATTAAATTACATCACTGGATTAACAAATTAGGTCAATTTTTTAGTCCTCAATAGCATTGCTCATCTTACTCCTACAATAACATAAAAGGCATGACAGAAAACCTTCCTTGTACCCTGGTTTTGAGTGGCAGTAATAGTGATAATGACACAATTTTATTAATTTCATGTTTAAAAGGAGTATGTGAGACCCATTAATTTAACAATCAACATTGATTTGGTGCAAGAATTGGTAAAAGTATTTGACGTGTAGCAAATTTATTTGACTAATCGTAGCTACTAAAGATAATTTGTTGTCACAGGAAAGTAATATAATTTTGTAACAATAATTATCAAAATTAACAGTGTGCCACTGTTTTGGTATATATAATTCAACCTAATAACCTTGAAGTTGTGGTTTTGAATATGAAAAGTGACAAACATATGAAAATAATGTTAACTGTTGGGTGAAGAAATTATTGAAAGGCAAGTGATGTACCTTGATACTAACATATGTCAAGCCATAATGAAGACAACTGCAAAGTTATTTCGAGGCTGCCTCCAATAGAATCCCTGTAGAATTTATCGATTACATGTGCAAACCACTTGAGACATTTAGATTATCACACTTGGCAGTATCCATGGCACCTATTCTTCATGATACAGATATAAGCCAAGGCCGAAACGAGCACATGCCCGGCAAAAAGCTATTTCCTCTGCAGCAGCAACAGGATCTACAATATCGTCATTTCCAGATGATACAGTCCCAGTCGATTCACGGTGTGCCTGCATCAGTGGGCATGTGGCCGTAAGATCTTTTACCGGATAAATTACAATAGAGAATACAAGGGTTTAGCTAATAAAGCTTGGTGCAATTTAAAAATCGACACCATACAAAAGGTTAACATGAACACATTTACTAAGGTGATATATCATGTATTTGTCATGTGATCTACACTAAGAATGAAATTCGGAAAATATGAGACACCCTGATCACGAGCTGCCTTTCTTAGGTGTTATATCTTTATCACTTCCTTAGGGTTGGGCGCATGTTTCAACTGTTATCAGATACATTGGAAAAATAGGAAGGAAAAGAGAAGGATACCACTTGTCCAATTTCAGAAAAAATACATGGTTATATCTCAATCCCCTAACAGTCTCCCCCACAAGTGTCAAATAAAAGAACATCATATTGCTTTCTATTCCTCTTAGGCAAAATTGATGCCATAGATCTCTCAGCAATTCCTAATGTGAAATATTTCAGAATCAAACACTTTCCTAGTCAATAGGGATTTTAAGTTCTCTTCCCATCGCCATGATTTTCAACTACAGTTCAGGATGGCCTCAGACAAGTATATTTTCATTTAGTCTCCAAAGTGCGAAGAAGGAAAAACCATTGCTTCCAGAACTTGAACAAAAGGAAGATCACTCGCAAAATTTGTTGAAATTTGGTCATCATCTCTCAAAAACTCAAGTATATGAATCCAACTTTTCAGTAAAGAAGATATATAGGGCTGCGTAATACAAGTAGAATAAAGCCTTGTTGATCTGTGAAAATGTTTCCAAAACTTGCTCCACAAAAACACATCTGATAGAATGTGACCATGTATAGCAGCTGACTTACACATTCTTCAACATATGTAAGTCAACCCAGTAAGATTGCCCACACCCCTGTACATGACGCGGATTGAATCTCACTTTTACACTACAACAGCCACACCATATATCAGTTAATCACTGGGCTATGGTAATCATAACAAAGTTCTGACGTGTGTAGATGAATAGAACTTGATCAACCAAATCCACAGCAGAATAGTAAACTTTTTTTCCTCACCAATTTTGAAATCCCATGCTATGACACAAGAAAGAACATGGCAAACATACTTGACGTGAAGTTATATTGCAACTCGTGACTACAGAAATGAAACTAACCTCTACAGCAACACCAGCCCAAATTGTACATACATCCACAGACATGTGGAATTATTTTGCATAAAATAAACCCAAATAACATGTGACAGCCAGTTTAATATCTGCACAACCTCAGTAGTTGTATGCATTGCATGAATAGAAAATGAAAGCCACTAAGTTGTAGCTGAAGAAATGTAAATGGCTAAAGGGTTAACACCTAAAGAATCCAGGAAGGGTCACACAAGAAAAATAAGCGTCTCACATTGATGAATTACTGGCGGTCCAAAGGATTTTAGAATGAGAGAAGATTGACAATTCAGAATTTGAAAAATCAGCTCAATCTACTCTTTACCATTTTGCAACAGATACTCAGTTTAGATAATTACACTGTTCCATTTCAAGATTGAACTTTAAAATCTACAGGTGGCAATCAATCCAAGAAGCCAAACATAACAAATAAAAAGCATTCCGTTACATCAGCAGTAGATGAGGTCTAATAATATCCTAGTGCAATGAAGGGCAGTCTAAGATGCAATGTCGTTAATATGTGTTGAAATTGGTTCACCCTTGGGCATATGAAAAAGTATATTGGCAATAACATCATGTAGAAGAAAAGCCACACCTCTCCATCAGAACCTCTTATTGTGACGCGATATACCACAGTCACACTTCCATTGTCAGAGAAAATAACATCGCGAATTTCTCCACACCACCCTGCATAACCAGGGAAAGAAAGAAAGATTAGTGACTTTTTTTTCAAAAAAATATAAAAAAAAGTACATCATTATATATATTCTAACTGAGATGTGATAATATAAACTACAACAATTAAACAATGAATTACACAATGGCAATCAAAGCTTAGACAGACTACCCATTAAGCTTTGGGTATTTTATCAAGTCAATTAAGCTTCAAATATTTTCTTTTCAAATGAACCACACAGATGACGATGATGTTGAAATGACCAATCACTACACATGCCAACGACGAAAAATGACAAACTGCTAGAGGACGCAATGGTTTGATGGATGACCCGGGCACCATATCAAGTGGACTTTTTTTTTTAATAGGAAATCATTCTATTTTATTAATTTCAAAAATAGTACATCAAGATTTAGATAGGATGGACAAGATGTCCAACCATGAAATGTGGAAAAAAAAAAAGACAACAAAAACAATCATAATATCTAAGGGGCACATGAGACCTTCCAATCCACCAATATGCAAAAGAGCGGAACACCATAAAAATCCTTCGAAACGGATACCCACAACGATGCCAAAAAATAGATTTGATCCCATAAACCTTCTTTCCACTCACCCGTATCCTTAAATATTCTAGAATTTCTTTTCAATCAAATCACCCATATTATGACAAAGATTGTACAATGCCAAAGGGTCACCCCTTTCTCATACTTTCCAAATCCCTCTAAGTCCTCCAATAGTATGTAAGAAAAAGTCTCAGTGATCATCTAATGCAAACCTGCTAATTCAAATAGCTTGGACCGCAAAAGTAAATCAAGAGGGCAATGCCAGAATAGATGATCAATACTCCCACTAGTACACGCACACATCACACACCACTATGGAGAAATGCAAAGAAATGGTCTTCTTCTCCGAAGCACATCATTAGTATCAATCCTTCCATGATCTATAATCCATTCACAAACTTACACTTTAATGAGCACTTTAGCCATCTAAATCATCACAAGGGGAGGAAACAAATGATATAAGCGATCATCAACCAGTGTATTAAAGAAAGATTTATATGAGAAAACCACCGAACACTCAAGAATCCACTTTTTTTTATCACCTAATTTAGGACACACATTGAAATCACTAATCAAGGAAAGAAGTGATACCAACACCTAGTATCTCTATCATTAAGATGCCTCTGGAAACCAAGATTCCAAGAAACTGATTGATGAGAATAATGACACATCTATGCAATCAAGGACTCATGAAAATGAGATAAATGATAAAAGACGTGGGAACATCAAAGAAAAAGACGATGACCTAACCTAGACATTCTCCCAAAATTAGACTCTCTCCATTACCCACAATATATGTGACATTTTGGGAAAACCTTGAAAGTCCTTGAGAAATAAGCTTTCCATGGACTACAAGTTTCCCCGTCTACCCCATTAGCATCCTATCCCATGATTCAAGGTCGCGGCATCAATCCTTGACTCAGAGAGCACTAATACACATTGGTCGTGGTGTCACGGCATGGTATCGATCCGTTAAGAATATTAGGATAGTATTTATAAATTGTTAATAATAAGAGGGTGTATGTGTAATTCTTATTATTGTGAGTTAACTATAAATACAAGTGATGTATGAGACTAAGTTAAATTTTTAACATCTATCTGTTTCTCTCTAAGTATTGTTTCTAATATTATGTTAATCCTCCAAACTTAACATGGTATCAGAGCATAAACAATCCTAAATATATTAACACTGTTGTGGTGTATTCTCTGTTCATCGTGTGACCTCTGTTCACGATCCTAAATATATTAACACTGATGTGATTGTTCGTTGTGGTGGTGTTGCTGTTGTCTTTGGCTTGTGGTGTGTGGTGTTATCGAAGACCACAGGATCCTCTTGGAACCCTAATCGGCGACGAAGAAGAGATCCAACTCATGGAGTTGGGTCTGGATCAGATCGAGTCAAGCCCAGGACTTAAATTGTTTTTAAAGTCCAATCCCGGTCCAGCCCACGGTTCAACTTAGACCGGATCACGGATCAGGCCGGTTCACTAGTCCAGAAAGCCTAGCCGATTCGATTTAGCGGTCCAGCTAGGTTTTCCAGACCGGTTCTATCCTCCAGCAAGTCTAGCCGATCTGGTTCAGGGTCCAGAGAGCCTTGCTGGTTCGGTTCAGTGGTTCAACCCGGTTCAGTATTCCAGCAAGTAACAGAGGTCCAATTCAGTGGTCTAGCCCAGTTTTCCAACTCGGTTCAGTACTCCAGGAAGTAACAAGGGTTCGGTTCAGTGGTCTAGCCCAGTTTTCCAGCCCGGTTCAGTACTCCAGTTGCTTCCTTCCTTCCGGTTCAGTCCTCCAACGACTTTCTTTTCTCCTGGTACTTGCAGCAGCTACTTGGCTTGCGATTTGCTGTACTGTTATAGAACTCAAGAAAGATACCAGGTCCCTTACTCCATCTTTGTCTCCTCCAACTCTTATCAATGGTCTCATGACCTCTGTTAAACTCAATGGGACCAATTATATTTTATGGTCCCGATCTGTTCAAGTTTTCTTCGAGGCAAAGAATTTAAGAAATATTTGGTGAATCCTAACCCAAGGGAGATACTCCTGGATATAATCAGTGGGAACAAGAAAATGCTCAAATTATTTCTTTACTATTGAATAGCATTGAGCCCAGTATTAGTTCCAATTTGCTCTACCTTGACACTGCCAAGGAGATATGGGATCACTTGGCTACTATATATTCTGGTACGGGTAATTTTACCCGAGCTTATGAGGTGTGCAAGGAATACTTCCGACTAGAACAGAGTACTTTGAGCATTAAGGATTATTATTCTCACGTTTGGGGAGTTTGTGAGGAGATGAAGACCTACCATCTGTTTACTACTAATGCAACAGTTTGGCAGAAGCAACATGAGGACATGAATGTTGTTAGGTTTTTGGTAGGATTGAAACCTGAATATGAGGCTATTCGTTTTTAAATTTTGGGTGATTCTAGTCTTTCCTCACTACTTAAGGTTTTCTCACGTGTACAACGTGCTACTGATCACTCAGCTCTTGTGGTTCCTAGTAGCCACAGCGATAGTTATCGAGGTGGACATGGAGGTCGTACGAGTGGTCGTGGGGGCTGTAATGGATCTCATTCCTGTACTCACTATGCCCGTGGAGGGCACACTATTGATTTCGACTGGGATTTACATGGAAAACCTTCTAATGCTGCAAATCAGGTTTCCTATCAAGATGATAACTCTGTTGTTGCTTCCATTCCTCGGTCAACTCCACCAGACACAGGGTCAATTACTATTACACGAGAAAAGTATGCTCAGTTCCTATCCCAGCAACAGGCTGTCCCAACTCCCTTTACTGCTACTTTTGCCCAGTCAAGTATTGCTTCCACTTGTTTACTGTCCTCCACTCGCAGTCCCTGAATCATAGACTCTGGCGCTTATGACCACATGACTGGTGTGTCTGATATTTTTTTTCTACTTTTAAGTTTGCTACTTCCACACGTAGTGTTACTCTTGCTAATGGTACTTGTTATAAAGTTTCAGGCCTAGGAACTACTCACTTGAGTCCTGATATGTCCCTATCGTCTGTGCTATTTGTTCCTCAGTTTTCTTTTAGTTTAATTTTCATTAACAAGATTACTCGTTCCCTCAATTGTTCTGTAACCTTTTATTCCTCTTATTATGTCTTTCAGGATCTCAAGAGGAAGAGGAATATTGGTACGAGGCATGAAGCTGGTGGCCTATATTACCTTGACTTTGACTCTCCTACCCAGACTCTACAGACCTCGTTATCTCATTTTCAATGGCATTATCGTCTTGGACATCCCTCTCTCCAGAATCTGAAGCGCCAAATTTTCAGTCTTAGTTATGTGTCGTCTTTGTCTTGTAAAGCTTGTCAACTTAGTAAGCATCACCGTGTGTCATTTCAGTCTAGAGTCAATAATCGTGTGTCTAATCCATTTGAGTTAGTACATTCTCATGTATGGGGTCCAATTAAAAATATATCATCTAATAAATATCTTTATTTTGTGACATTTGTGGATAACAATTCTCGTGTGACTTGGTTGTTTTTTATGAAAGCTCGGTCTGAATTATTTTCTATATTTTAAACCTTTCGTAAGGAAATAAAAACTTAATATGGTTGTCATATACATACTTTATATTCCGATAATGCTTGAGAATATGAATCTGATCCTTTTTCAGCTTATATTAGTAAAACTGGCGTTATTCATCAAACTTTTTGTGCTTACACATCTCCACAGAATGGTGTTGTTGAACGCAAAAATAGTTATTTGTTGGAAGTCACCAGTGCCTTGTTATTTGAGATGAATATTTTTCGATATTTTTGGAGTAATGTTGTTCTTACTGCTTGTCACCTTATTAATCGTATATCATCTTCTGTGTTAAATGGATAAAGTCCATATTCTGGTCTTTTTCTTAGTAAGCCCTTATTTTTTTCTAACTTCTAAGATTTTTTTGATGTGTCTGTTATGTTCATAACTTGGGTCCTGGGTTTGACAAACTTGACCCTTGAGCTACCAAATGTGTATTTCTTGGTTACTCCTGCACACAAAAGGGGTATCGTTGCTACAGTCCTTCTCTACACCAATACTTTACTAGTGAAGATGTCACATTTGAGGAATCTGTTCCTTATTTTCCAGCACCTTCTCAGCCTTTGGATATGAATTTTGGGTCATCTCCTGTACCACCATCTCTTTCCTCATCTTTAGATATTCCGCTGCCCACTGTGTTACCACCTACTTTACCTCTCCGTGTCTACTCTCGTCGTCCTCGCCCATCGACTGAGGTGCCCTTACCGTCTTCCTTGTCGCCTTCTGATCCGGGTACATCAGGTAATTTAGACTCTTTACCTATTGCTCTTCGAAAAGATACTTGTTCGTGTGTTACTAATCATCCTATTACTCATTTTATTTCATATGATGTCTTGTCTCCTGTCTTCTCTTGTTTTACTTCTCAATTATCTACTATATCTATTCCTAAGCATTTACAGGATGCAGTATTTGATCCGGGTTGGAGGAAAGCTATGGAGGAGGAGATAGATGCCTTATATGATAATGGGACTTGGAATCTCGTTCCTTTACCTCCTGGTAAATGAACTGTTAGTTGTCGTTGAGTGTATACTGTTAAATTTCATTCGGATGGTTTTGTGGAGCGTCTCAAAGCCTGGCTTATTGCAAAGGGCTTTACTCAGGCTTATGGTGTTGATTATGAGGAGACTTTCTCTCTTGTTGCCAAAATTTTCTCTGTTCGTATCTTGATTTCTTTAGCTGCTAATCTTGATTGACCCTTATTTCAGTTAGACGTCAAGAATGCTTTCTTACATGGTGACTTGGTTGAATAGGTATACATGGAGCAGCCACCTAGGTTTACTGCTCAGGAGGAGTATGGTAAGAGTATGTCGGTTAAAGAAATCTTTGTATGGTTTGAAGCAGTCACCGAGGGCATGGTTTGATAAGTTTTCAAATGCAATTTTAAAGTTTGGTCTTCTTCGATGTCAGACAAATCATTCTGTATTTCATAAACAGACAGATGTTGGATATGTTCTATTGGTGGTCTATGTAGATGATATTGTGATTACTGAAAAAGATTCTGAGAGGATTGCCAAGTTAAAAATATTCTTACAGGATCGATTTTATATTAAGGATTTTGAAAAACTTAGGTATTTCCTGGGTATTAAGGTCGCTCAATCTAAACAGGGTATTTATTTATCTCAGAGGAAATATGTACTTGACATGTTAGAGGAAGCAAGTTTGTTGGGTGGCAGACCTATTGATGTTTCTATAGATCCGAATTAAAAACTTTTGATGGATGATGGTGCATTATTTGAGAATCCGGGTCAGTATCGTAGATTGGTTGGGAAGCTCACTTATCTCACTATTACTTGACCGGATATTTTCTATGCAGTCAATATAGTAAGTCAGTTCATAGGGTGCCCTAGAGTACGACATTGGAAGGCAGTTACTCGTATTCTGCGATATCTCAAATGTGCTCCTAGACTTAGACTGTTATATCAAGCTAATGGACATCTTAGAGTGGAAGATTTCTCAAATGCTGATTGGGCTGGCTCTCCTTCTGATCCGAGATCAACCACTAGTTATTGTACTTTCTTAGGAGGTAACATTGTCTCATAAAAAAGTAAAAAACAATCCATGGTAGCAAGATCCAATGATGAGGCTGAGTATAGAACAATGACGCATACGACGAGTGAGTTGACTTGGCTACTACACTTCCTCCAGGAAATTGGGTTTCTAGTTCAACTTCCTTTACAGTTGTTCTGTGACAACCAAACAGCTATTCATATCGCTGTCAATTCGGTGTTTCACGAGAAAACTAAATATATTGAGATTGATTGTCACTTTATTCGGGATAAGATAGTAGATGGGGAGATTACAACTCTATTTGTGAAATCTGAAGATCAGCTTACAGATATGTTTATCAAAGCATTGAGTCGTACACATCTTACAATAATTTGTTCCAAATTTGAATTATATGATATATATATATATAGTCCAACTTGAGGGAGTGTTAAGAATATTAGGGTAGTATGTGTAAATTGTTAATAGTAAGAGGGCGTATGTGTAATTCTTATTATTGTGAGTTAACTATAAATACAAGTGATATATGGAACTAGGTTAAGTTTTTAACTTCTCTCTGTTTCTCTCTAAATATTGTCTCTAATATTATGTTAATACTCCAAACTTAACACGGCCGAACGCAAAAAATGATTGATAAAAGGCCCAAAAAATTCTTAAAAAATAAATAAAAATTCTAAAAAAAAACATAAGTAACAACATTAACACATCATCTATCTAGAATATACTATCTACCACATTAACCATAGTAAAAATAAAATAGAAAGGTATTGTCAGAATTATTAATCATTATTATTGTTTCTAAGTTAATTATCTAAATTGGTAAGCAATTTTTACTTTAAGGATCATCTAATTTAAATGTAATTTAATTTCAAATTTTGTTTCTAAATATTAACAAATTTTAAAATGTAGAAAATCTTACATTGATTTATGTATGAGCGTGTAAAAGTTTTTTTAGATATAAAGTATATAGGTATTTAGTACAACTCAAACTCCCTTCTGTAATAGATAGTAATAGTAGTTTAATAGTTATCTACTTACGGGTCCTTGACTCTATTAAGAGTCTTAGACCATTATGCCTAGCCCAACGATGTGATACGATGAGAGAGAGAGACAGACAGACACACACGACTGAAGGGGCGATTCTGATCGTAGGCAATCAACTGAGCGAAAAAAGAAAAGGAGGAAGAGAGAGAGAAGAAGAAGAAGAAGAAGAAGGGGTTTTCTCCATTCGATATTTGAGGTTTTATTGCAAATCCTTTCAATTCTTCTTCCATATTTCTAATTGCAAAAAAGGTGTGATTATAGTTTATATATTGCTTTCCTTGGCATGTTGGTCACTGTGTTAGGGTTCAAAATTGATAGATTGCATATAGTTTCTACCTATTTGGGTGTATGATTTTTGTTTTCTTATCCCTTCTTTATTTTCTTTCGGTCTAACTCAGTTTAACTCAATCCAAGTCAAACGATTTGATTTTGAGTTTGATCGATTTCGTCAAGTCGTAACCAAGTCAAGGCCGATACACCTAAGTTGCATATTATTTGTGTAGCGGCTACTGTTATCGGATTGGAGGTCTGACTCGGCTAAGTCGTATCAGACTCGGCCGATACTTTGAACCTTGTCTCATCCATTGGCCATTAATCCGCACTTGCTCTTAACAACCAAATACCATAATGAATTTTATTCCATTGAGAATCTCCAAAGCCATTTACCAACTAAAACTTCATTCTTTGCCTTCAAATTTCCCACCGAAAGGCCACCTTTAGCTTTTGTTGTTGACACCATCTCCCAATTCACCAAATAATCCTTCTTCCGTTCACCACTTCCTTCCTCCAAAAAATATCTCATCATTTTCTCAAGTCTCAATGCAATTTTCCCTGGCATCTTAAAGATAGATAAAAAATAAGTAGGTATACTAGCCAAAACTGATGTATCAAAGTTAATCTATCCCCTCTAGTAATATAAGATCTCTTCCACCCATTTAATTGTTTTCTCACTTTTTCCACAATTGGATCCCAAAATGTTAAGGATAATAGATTTCCCCCAAAGGAAGACCTAAATACTTTAAAGATCACTCTCCCACACTACATCTCATCTCAATATTCCTGCCAATCTAGAAATTTTATCTTGAGAGGAATTTATACTCACAATCAAATTTTTTTTCATATTGACCCTTAGCCTTGACACCATCCCAAATACCTTCACTATCTTTCTCAAATTATTATATTTTTCCTCGTTCCTTCCTTAAAAAAAATACTATCATCAGCAAATTGCAAATGGGATGCATAAACTCCATCCCTTTCAATAATGAAGCGCGCCACCAAATTAAATCTCTCTGCTCTTCTCACTAACTTACTCAACTCATCAGCAACTAAAGTAAACAAAAAAGGAGATAAAGGATAGCCATATCTCAATCCTCTAGTTGCTTTGAACCTTTCTCTAGGCTTTCCATTAATCATAATAGAGAAATTCATTGATTGCAAGAATCCATTAATCCACCCTCTCCATCTACTACCATATCAAGTGGACAGAAGGATCATAAGTGATTACAAATTTTGCAGGCAAAATGAAAAGATCAAATGACACAAAAAATGATTTTGAAATGAGATAGGAATCAAGCCCAATGTTCCTTCTAACATTAAACAAAAAAGGGTTGAAATCGGGTGGACGATCTCATATTTGTCGAAATATCATATTTGAGCAATGACTACTTTTCAGTTAAAAAAAACGCAATGACTATTTATGTGAGATGCAAAAACCGATAGATTGAACATTTTATGATGAGAATTCCTACAGTTTATTCTTTATCACTGGATGCATGATACTACCAAGGATATGGCTATGTTATGTTACCTATGGAAAAATTTTGGTATTTTACCAAAATTCACCTTTGACCGAAATTTTGGATGCAAGACAGTCTTGACTGTTTTGTTATAAAATTAAGCTAGGGCTGATAATAGAGCGTATACTTTCTGTGTAAAGGGTTCAATATCAATGATAAACATTTGTCTCAGTATTATAGAAAGAATTGCCAACAACCCCTTTATCTGAGTATTCAACAATAGCTATTTGAAGATCATCGCATTTGCATTTCTTCTTTTAAGTGTAGTACAAGCGCAGGTGCAAGAGAAGAACAAAACATATTTGGAAACAAGAAGAAAACAACAAAAGTGAACAAGAGCTAAAATATAAAGGAGGGGCAAGGTAATCAAAGGCATAACGATAAGTGACACTGTGAATGAGAAGAGTATGCAAAGTCCAAATAGATTCACATTTATACAGAAATATGAAAAGAGAATAAAGAAATAGAATCTCCAATCACACCTGGGGCATAGAAACTCAACATGCGGTTGGCATGGTACCTACACACCATCAGATCAACAAATATTTCCTTCAGATCAACCATCGAACTATTATGCATAAAAAAAGGAAATGATGAAGTTAATAGTTGTAAAAGGGATTTGAGAAAAAGAAAGAACAAGGAAGGGGATGCACAGAATAAATGGTACCAGGAAATGAAGGTGGAATGATGATCATGAGGTGATTTGATGATGTTGCCGGGGATCCTCTTGTTGAGGTCTCGCAGGATCTCGGCGAGGGGGCGAGTGATGCACGAGGAAGTAGACGACTTGTCCAGCGGCACCACGTAATTCGAATTTGGCAACGATGACGACGATGATGATGACTTCTTACTGCTATTATCATCGTTGTTGTTGTTGTTACGGTCCAGTGCCAAAACTTTCAGTTTCCCAGACCTACTAGAATTGCTCTTACCTGTATTGTAATGGATATCGATCCGCCTCCGATGGGAAATTGGGTGACTCACCGCCGGAAACCTAGTCTCATTCGCCAACGAGACCCATTTTCTTAGAAAACTGCCACTCTCAACTGCCATTCCGGAGGACGGCGGGCAGCGACTTCCTAATTGTGATTGTGTGGTCCGGACCGGTAGATGAGCTTTCCTGTTCCCTCCCCGTGGTAGACTTTTGTTTAAATATATATAATAAAGTGGGTGGAGATTAAATTTTGGGATCAAATTTAGATAAGATAACATATTATTTAGAGTTTTTATTAGGATTTAAATGACATGACACTAAATAAAAAAGTTAAAGTCAGCTGTCATGTCATTTGAATTCTAAATTTAATCCCAAAATTTGCCCAGGCTAACATTACTGAAATAATTAACAAGTTAAATTTTATTCTCGCACATTTTTCTCATTAAAAACATCACATTACTTATTTTTATCACATGTCTAATTATGTTAATATTTGATTAATTTATAATTTAATATATTTTTTATTTCAAATATTATTTATGCACGATAATATACATATGTTGAGAAAATTTTATCGAATTATGTATTTTAAAAAAAAATTAGATATTTTTAGCAAAATAATGGATAAACATAGATTTTAAATAATGTAATCATAAAAATGAAAATAAAAATTATTATTTAATATAGTGAGATAAATTTTTTTGGACACTCGAATTATATGTATTATCGTGTCTGGTTATAACTAGTACGCTCATAGAACAGAGGGTTTGTTTTTATGTATTCGATTCCCACCTTACAAATATTCAAACTCATCCCACTAAACTCTTTAATATAAAATTGTTAAATCCACTTTCATTTTATACATACTTAAGTACTACCAATCCTTTTAATATAGATAGTATTCACAACCTCCATCGAAAATTATTCTCGCTCTCATGTGTTTTTCACTTCTGAAGTTTATTTCTCTACCCAAAAAACACACACACCTAATAAGACAAAAGAAATTGGATTTGACTTTCAAAGAATGATTTCTCAATTGAGAGACATACATGCTGCTAGTACTTATATATTTGCTCGTCTTCTTAATTTTCTAAGGTCGATAAGGAAAATGAATTACAAATCTAAAGGTGATCAAACATGTTAATATCGCATAAAAATTACTTTTAATTTAAGTCCCATAAAAAGTTGAAAGATTTTCTATAATCTAGTTGTATAAAAATAAAATTACTTTTCTATTGGGCTCTCATGAGATGAGATGATGATATAGGAGTGAGAATAACTTATTGTTAAAGGTTTCAATAATATATAATAAGCATTGTAACGGAATCATTAATAGGTAGGGAGGGAGGGAGAGCGAGTATAGAATGAGAGTTAATTTAATCATTTCATATTATATAACTCAACAAATGCACATCCATTTATGAGAATAAAGACTAAACAATGTCATATCATTTTAGTTTGGTCTCATTTTTCAATCAGTCTAACATTACTCTACTACTGACTTGGTGTGTCTTTTTGCTAATTCACGTCTTAATTGTTTGTTGCTCAATTATTCTCATTAAAAGTTTCATGGTATGTCTGATATAGTTTAATATCTCCATAATTCTGCATGTCTTCTCTCTTACACCTGGCTGGCTGGCTGGCTGGCTGGCTGGCAATCATATTAAATGATTTAGTTAGTCAAAATACTCTGACATCTTCTACACACTTACTAGTTCTTGATTGATAGGCATACCTCTTATGTAGTACTTATTAACTAACTACATGTATGTGGCTCTTGAAAACATAATATAGAGTTCGCTATCCAAAATTTTATTTTATTTTATTTCCCTAGTTACTCTCCTATGCTTAATTACTAGATTCTCCTGCTGTGTTGGCCTTTCTTTTAATGAGAATCAAGAAACTAATGAGTCATTCCTATCTCAAAAGAAATATTAGATCACAAATTCTGTTTGCACAATATATATATATATATATATATATATATATATATATATAGTTGACCCAGCGTAGTTCCAAAGGCGGATCCAAGAAAACTAAAGTGAATACAGACCTAATGTTTTACATTATTTGAACAAAATAATTGTCCTCATGTTGATTTGAACCCTCCTGTGTGTTTTCCATTGTTATGTGCCTCAGTACATGGGAGGTGTGCCTTTGCCTAACCCTACTCCAAATCAAGTTAGGATCATTGTTACAACTCCATCTGTTCTTCATCTCAAGACTCACCACCCTGCACTCATTCAAGATCATGTGCGCTCCTCCAGGAGTCTTCTCAGAACAAGTGAGGCCAGCCTCATAAAAGAGTGATGACCAATTAGGCCAGTTCATTAAATTCCACGACATCCAATTTGAGATACCAACCGACCCCATTGTCGAAATGTCAAGTAGGCAAAAAGTGCAAGATCAGAAGGACCAACTTCCTGTGGGCATTTTGGTGCAACTATCTACACACGAAGTATCACAACGTTATTGTGCAGCAGCATCAGCTTTCTGCAGATTTGGTTTCTCCCTGGAAATGGGAACATGGTTCTGGTGGTTTGGCATGAGGAAGCTATCCTCGTATCATTTCAAGTCCCACGCGAGTTACAAGGCTTGTTATCTATTCCTTCACAGCCAAAGGTGAATAGTGCAAGTTCAAACTGAGGTGCCTCCCCTAACTTTCATTTTTCAAGGCAAACTCCATATAGAAATTGAAGCTTAAATACAGATAACTAAACAAGCCATACACATCTAATGAAGCTTACATACAGGTAACTAAAGAAGCCATACATGTCATAGGCATTGTAATCAAGGTAGTTTGTATCTGTTGGTAGTATGATGCACCCATCAATCATGTTGGAACTTGAGTACCCTGCCATTTCAAACTTTTACCTAGGTTTATAAAATGATAACCCAAATAGAAAGCAATTATATCTTCTTTTTTTGTTTTTTTTACCTTATTTAGCTTCTCAATGAAAATCAGCTCAACTTCTCGATGGAGACTCTCCACTTCCATTGCATACTCCCCACGATTTTCCTCTACCATTAGCTGCTGTAATTGCTGCCTCATCCTCTCCAATGCCACATCCAATCCACAAAAATCTTTGAAAACTAGAGCTTTGGTTGACCCGAGTTTTAAGAGGTTCTTAATCGCAAAAAGGGCCTGCAACACATCTCGTTAGCAACGCAACACAAGTTAGCTGAAATAAATACTTGCCACAGGCTATAAGAACTACCAAATTGCATCTACTTAAACTTCTATTAAGTGGGCATACAAATCAATTCATAGCCTACAAACACATTATTTGTAGCTTTGTTGCTCTCAGTTTTTGCCACATTTAGCAAATGTAGTAACTTTGTACGAAAAAACAAACATGGATTATTAATGCTTGTGAAATGCACTGTGCGCAAAACTCGCACACCCACAATCACATGAAATATTTTCTTCAAAGTGAAACTGTGAAGACTGACGCTAAAGAAAAACCTTCTCCTGTAGATCAAGGTCAGTTGATGCTGTCAGATCAACAACAGACTTCAAGAAGAAACGGTTGCTGAAAAATGGAAGTTGAGCTTGATTTCTCATATCTAATTGGGACCCTGCCAGATCAGCCACAAGAAACACTGATTTCCTGTGTATTCTAATATCAATACTTGAGTTGCTCAGAATATCCTACAAGACAAGACAAACCACTAGTTATGATTATCATTCCCAAGCAAAAATGTTTGAAAAAAAAACAAGGAAAATTATGATCTTCATTTTTCACTTGGTCACCTGAAGCATTAAATCTCCGGCTTCTGCATAGAACAATTCTTGGCCATCTATATTGTTTCTGATCAAGGCTGAAATGGCATACAATGCTTTTGTGGCTTCTTCTACAAGACAAGATTTCACCATCTTCATTAGCTTCAGCAATGCCCCATGTTCCAGGATCTGAGACCCTCAAATCTTATAAGTCATATTGCTTATGCAAGTCTTACAAGAATAATTAACAACTACAGAACTTCAGAGGGACACACATAATAACATAATGACAATGGGACAATAAGATTACTTAATGATAAAGATTCATTTTTATGTTCACAAAATTGTGTGTCCACATACCTGCTTCTGAACAACAAGGTCATTTTGACTGGCTTTACCAAGAATCCATGCAGAAGTTGTTCTCATCTCTGGGTCAGGGTTACTAAGCTCTCTTATAACTACGGAAAGGCCCCCAAGTTTGTGCAAATCTAACAAACATAAATATTGTCACTGAAGCAGTTTATAGAGGAGGATAGAGGACCATAGTATGAGCAGAGTTCAAGATTCAGAAGATACCACTCTCAGAAAAGACTCATCATGCAAGTAGTAGTTATTATAAAGCAATGTGTAAATGAAATTCTCAAAGGAAAACCATGGCAGCATATATATTCTGTTGCTATCATAGGGTTAATAGATGACAAACAAGATAGAAGAACAGGAAAGAAAGAAACAGAAGATGCAGGGCCCAAGGGTTTCAGTCAGTTTCTTGTCCCTGATTTTTGTTCAAAATAACTATATTGTTGTCCCAATTTCTTTTCGAATAATTTATGGGATGTAACATTGTAAAACATAATTAGATGCAAATAGTAAAATAACCTTATCCAAAAGCATCTTATGCTCTTCCAAACAATCAATTTGTCAATAAACTGAGAATGGTCTCAATTAGGCTTTGCAATAAAATAAAGAATGAATAAAAAAAATAAAGAATGATTTTGCTATGTGCTCTTTAATTTTTTTATAGTAATTAAGTCTTAAATTCAATATATTTCTCAAGTTTGAACATAGAAATATTTTTATTCATCTTTTGCCCCCTCTAAAATGAAATCCTATCCCAGCCCCCGACCACTTTGTTGCCATTTGTCAAAATAAAGACATCACTTCCTTATGGTTGAAGCCAAACTCCATCATGATCCTAAAAATCAAAAGAATTCACGAATTTTGTGAGCAAAACTCGGCCTCTATTTAATGGAGGCAATAAGTGACTTTTTTCTCTTCAGTACCTTTTTTCACCTTCTTCAAGCCAACCTCAATACACACACATCGTGCCAGCATAGTAATAATAAGAGTATTAGGGTTTAGGAGAAAGAAGAAGAGAAGAGAAAGAGAATAATCTGTGTGTAGTAGTTGTGTTGCCCTACATTCTCTTAGAGGAGTATTTAGGGTAATTACAATGGGTTTAAATTCTGTCCGGACTACCTGTAAACTATGTGATTTACAGACAACCAATCAATAGATGACAGCTCAGGTAACCCAACAAAATATTGGTTTCCCATCTCTCACTCTCTCGTTCCTCTGCATCTTTTTCTGTGTCTAACTCTCACAAACACTACAGATACTTTTCTGTGTCTACTCTCACAAACACTACCAGATACATTCACCCAGACGCCCAACACCTTCCCTCCCTCCCCCCCCCCCCATATCTGCAGTCTCGACGCTGCCCTCCTCTACCACCATTGACTTTGTTTTCCTAATCGACAAACAAAATGATCGCTGGTATAATTATCAATGTATTTACAAACTTTAAATTAATTGGTTAGTTACATAACCATTGCTAAACCCTCAAAAATTGATTCTAGAATGAGGAAAATGCAATATGAGGTTGGAATCAATCATATGTTCCATTCCTAGTAATTGTTCAAAACATCTAGCTATAGCATCAACACATTCTATGGAGAATAATTTGCAAAATAAGATTTTTTTTTCAAAGAACTCACAGCATCTGTTGAGAGGCGATGAGGACGGTGGCAGCTGGGTTTGAATGAGTTTTCACAGAGATAAAAGGCAAGGGGAAAGGTGAGATGGTGATAAATGAGGGCAGCAGTGGTGTGCTACTCCGTCTCTGCATCGACGCGTGCATGGATGCTTAGACTGGGACCCACTTCAACTGAGATGTCATCTATTGATTGGTTATCTGTAAATCACATAGTTTACAGGTAGTCCGGACAGAATTTAATCTCAATTACAATACTATCCTACACTACTAATTACAACTAATAACTAAAATACGAACTCTAATACTCCCTCTCAAGCTGGAGCATAAAGATCAAAGATGACCAGCCTAGAACAAAAACTACTGAATGCAGACCGAGCCAATAGCTTGGTAAGAATATCACCCAATTGATCACAAAACTTGATATATGGAGTGATAATCTGATAATCTCCTTCCGCATCAACAGATCTCGAATGCAATGATAATCCACTTCAATGTATTTAGTACCCTCATGAAATCCTGGATTACTCGCAATGAAAATTGTTGCCTAATTGTCGCAATGCCTCTGCATAGGAGAAGGGACCTTAATGCCCATATCGCAAAGTAAAGAATGATCCCACAACATTTCACACGCAGAATAAGTCACAGTTCGATATTCAACCTTCGCACTAGATCATGCAATTGTGTTATGTTTCTTATTGCATCAAGTAACAAAGTTACCCCCAACAAATGTACAATAGTCAAAAGTACATCATCGCCTAGACAACATTAGAGAAACCAATAATAGTTATAGATGATGACAAGCGATACAATAATCCTTTCTCTAGAGCCCTTTTAGATACCGAAGAATACGACAGACGGCCTTGCAATGCTTTCGAGGGACATGCATGAATTGACTAACCACACCATCTGCATATGTAATATCAGGGCGTGTAACTGTGAGATAAATCAACTTATCAACCAACCTCTAATATCGCTCTATGTCATCAAAAAATTCTTCACTCTCAACGTCTAACTTAAGTGTAGAGTTCATAGGAATATCTACCTCAATCTTAGGAAATATTGAACAAGTACTAAATCTTTAATATGAAACTACTTTCTCAAAATAGATCTTGAAGTAGGCTATAGCATTACCATATGAGTCATTATCACTAATGATAATGTCATCAATATATATAATAATAATAATAACACCTACAGAAGACTTACGAATAAAAACTAAATGGTTTGAAGTGGAGCGTTAAAAGCCAAACAGAAGTACAACTACACTGAATTTATCAAACCAAGCACGTGGCGACTGTTTCAAGACATACAATGCTTTCTTCAAACGACACTAATTGTTCCTTTCCAAACATAACCTGGAGGCTGAGCAATATATACCTCCTCGTATATTATCTCTGTGTAAAAAAGCGTTTTTATGTCAAGTTGATATAAGGGTCAATTAAAATTGATTGTAACAGAAATAAGAACTCTAACAGAGTTAAGACGAGCAACCGGACAGAAAGTCTCATTATAATCCACACCATTGATCTGAATGTAGTCTTTGATAACCAACCATGCATTACAGTGTAAACCCAAGGACAACTAACATGTTGCTTACCAGAATGAAGAGGGGTTAGATCTCATGTATAATTGTCACGATGGGCTTTCATTTCCTCATCCATAAGACGCCAATGCATGTTGTAAGAAACTAGGAACAAATATAGAAGGTAAAACTGATGCAAAACAACTAAAAAATGGGAAAGTCAATGTAAGGCGACAAAATTAGAAATAAAAAGTTGGGTATAACTACGAGTATCGTTCCTTAAGAGGATGAACTAAGAGGATGAACTAGCTGAGAGATTAGAGGACACGACCTCAATAGAATTAGGAGATGGCTATGGAGCTAGAGCAAATAAAACAACCTACCTGTGTTTGGAACAATGACAAATTTGCAAACGAGTAGCAATCGGAGAGGAAAAAGGTGCATAGTCTGGTAGAATGGGGAACAAGAGCTCTCTAACTGTGAAAGATTAAATCTGAGGAAAGTGTATGTCGGACACATAAAAGAAGGAAAATGACTCAAATAGGGTTATGGCTGGGATAACATTTCTGAGTACCAGAACATCCCAAAAAGATATATTTAACTGGGTGAGTCAAAATTTTATCTTAAATTAGACCAAGAAGATGAACAAATGCAGCACAATCAAAGACACAAAGAATGAGACCAAATGACGATTTATCAGGATATAGCAATGAGAAAGGAAATTTGTTGTCTAAAATGGTGGAAGACATGTGATTAATAAGATATACTGAAGTAAGAACAACATCAACGCAATATAGTTTTGGTAAATGCATTTTAAACATCAAGGTGCGGATAATATCTAACAAATGACAATATTTACGTTCGACAACTCCATTTTGCTAGGACGTATGTAGACAAGTGGTTTGATGGATAATGTCATGGTCAACACAAAAGATTATCAAAAACAATAGAGTATACTCAAGAACATTGTTAGACCAAAGAACTTTAATACGTACATCAAATTGAATCCAAATTTCATTATAAAAAGTAGTAAAGACCTTAAACAATTCAGATTAATCTTTCATAAGAAATAACCAACTCATACAAAAGAAATTATCAACAAAAATTATAAAACACTGAAAACTAAAAATATTTTTAATTCTTGTAGGATCCCAAATGTTTGTATGAACAATATAAAACGGATTAGACTGAAGACTTGAAGAATTAAGAGGAAAGGAACTACGGTGATGCTTGCCTCATTGACATGCCTTATATTCTAACACAAAACAAGTACTCAAACCAAGGATAACTTGACACAATTTTTGCAAAGAGAGATAACCTCGTCGAAAGTGCACTAAAGAGAAGACACAGTAGTACTCAAGGCAGGAAAGGCCATTGCGCTCATGCTTCACACCAATCATCTTTTTCGTTTTGAGATCCTGAAAAATACAAGATGGAGAAAAGGTGACCAAACACTATAAGGAGGACTTAGTTAACTTACTCTCAAATAACAAGTTAAAGGAAAAATTAAGAACAGACTGGGTTAATGACACATAATGAGGTAGGATAGAAATCGTCAGTCCAATGTTCATGTCGAAAGGAACCATAAGCTAACACTAGACGTGAACTAGACGAACGAAAACTAGAGAATAAAGAAGAAATACCAGACATATAAGCACTAGTTCTCAAATCAATGATCCAAGATAACGAAGACAATTGAGCAACTAAGTATGCAGAGTTACTTCCATATGCAGAGTTCCTTCCATTAGTAAGACCAATGGTAGGAGCAGATAAACGAGGAGAAAGTGAAGATAACTGTTGGATAAGGTGACTAAGCGGAGAAGAAAATCATCATGAGTGCCAGGAGTAGATGCAACCGAAGCATTGGTAGAAGTTTTATGTACTAGAGAACCTGAAGTATCATTAGACACC